TTGAATGGATACAGGTCATTCTGCCCACCCATGTGCTTAATTTGCCCACCCATGTACTTAATTTGCCCACCCATGTACTTAATTTTATTGAATTTGTGTCAGCTAATGGTGCACATGATGGGACTCTAGTGTGTATATTGTGTCATTTGTACAAATAAAGCAACATTGTATCATGTCTAGCCAGAGCAAAGAATTCTTCAAAATATTTTATCACAGACTGAAAAAGTACAAAACAGGAAAATAGGTAATTTATTAGAACATTTGTATTTTTCTTTTTTCTTTTTTTGAGACAGAGTTTCACTCTTGTTGCCCAGGATGGAATGCGATGGTGCGATCTCGGCTCACTGCAACCTCCGCCTCCCGGGTTCAAGCAATTCTCCTGCCTCAGCCTCCCAAGTAACTGGGATTACAGGCATGCGACACTACACCTGGCTAATTTCGTATTTTCAGTAAAGACAGGGTTTAACCACGTTGGCCAAGCTGGTCTCGAACTCTTGACCTCAGCTGATTTATCTGCGTTGGCCTCCCAAAGTACTGGGATTACAGGTGTGAGCCAGTGCGCCAGGCCTCAATTATTGGAACATTTCTAATGGAAAATACTGAGAAGCTAAATACCCAAGTTTTAGCCTCAGTTCTTTTTATAGAAGTTACATAAACTTATGTTAGTCCCTCAACTCCCAAATGCCTACTAACACATATAAAAGGGGTACATTCTTATAGTTTTAGCACCTCATAGGGTGGCAATTTGGATTGAATGAGATGTATGGAATAACTTTTAAAAATAGAAAGCATATTATACCTTATTAGGTAGGCACAGCATTGGCCTCATAATAATCTGAATAATTTTTCCCCCATGTCTCAAATATTAAAGGTAGCCTATCATCTTATACCTCAGCAACTCAGATGTACAAATTAAAGGTAAAGGGAACAACTTGTAGCAGAAAAACTATTTTAGTATCATGTTTTTCTTACTCTTCTAATAGATTATAAAAACTAGATTTAAGATATTATATGCCAGATATTCACTTCTGAATACTGAAAAATAATGACATATTTATGTATTCTGAAACACTTTCTTATGGTCTTTCATGTTATCCTTACAAGTATGATAGTTCACAATGGGTGCAGCCATCCTCACTTTACACCTGAAATGTAGATTGAGAGACTTGTCCCAAGCCATACATAATGATTTACAGAGGAGCTAAAACTGACTCACACCCCGAGCACTTTTCCATTGACTCTCAAACTTTCATATGTATCAGAATTAGCTGAGTAACTTATTGTAAAGACCAGCTGCTTGTAACGCAGGTAATTCAGATGTAGGTATTTTGTGGACAATATCATGAAGCATTTCATTAAGCATGCAGAGAAGCACTTGATTTCTTCTGAAGGTGTTTGCTTGCTTTGTGTCAGGAGCCCACGAGTTTCAGGGCTCCTGGCAGCTCAGACTCACTTTGCATTTCTCAATTTAGGAAAATGTGGGATGGATAAATATCCAGTATTGGGACTCCTGGACCTCAATGAAGTTGGCCTGGGAGAACTTTCATCTATGGGAAGGGCTCTCTGTCCTTTGGTGCCACCTAGGGGCCAGTTACTGATTTGTAAAAAAGAAATTTGATGGGCTAGCTAAAGAGAAAAAATAAAACAAAGGAAAACACAGGAGGAGATTGGGGGAGTTACTCTAGAAGGCTATTTTTTATTCCTTAAAAATAAATTAAATTGCATTTATGCTCTTGGTTTTTTCTCCTTGTAAGATCCCTGACAGGGTGTATGTGTTCACTGTTCTATTCCTAGCTCCTACAACAGTGCCCAACACATAGTAAGCGCTCAGCAACTATTTGTTGAATAAATAAGTGAATGATTGGTGACTGTGCTCTGGTACTAGATGCTATGCTATTAAAAGGACTTCTCTTCAAATCAATAGAGGGCCCAAGTGTGCAAGATATTTCTAATCATGCCAGTATACAAATGTTATTGATATATCTCTTAAAATAAATAACTTGCATTTTCTCCCATAGAGGATGCCATCAGAGGAAAGAGATATTCTGTGGTTCTAATTTAAAGTGCAGCTCAGGCCAGGGCACAGGGGTCTATAATCCCAGCACTTTGGGAGGCCGAGGCAGGTGGATCACTTGTGGTCAGGAGTTTCAGACCAGCCTGGCCAACATGGTGAAACCCCATCTCTACTAAAAATACAAAAATTAGACAGGCGTGGTAGTGGGCACCTATAATCCCAGCTACTCGGGAGGCTGAGGCAGGGGAATCGCTTGATCCCAGGAGGCGGAAGTTGCAGTGAGCTGAGATCTCACCATTGTACTCTAGCCTGGGCAACAAAAGCGAAACTCCATCTCAAATATAAATAAATAAAAATAAAGTGAAGCTCAAAGCTCTCTCCTTTCCTTGACCTTCTTAATAGTAATACCACTAGTATTACTATTAGTGGTAATAGTCCACTATTACCACTAATAGTAATGGTTCATGCCTGTAATCCCAGCACTTTGGGAGGCTGAGGTGGGCAGATCACCTGAAGTTGGGAGTTTGAGACCAGCCTGACCAATATGGATAAACCCCATCTCTACTAAAAATACAAAATTAGCCAGGTGTGGTGGTGCATGACTGTAATCCCAGCTACTCAGGAGACTGAGGCAGGAGAATCACTTGAACCCAAGAGGTGGAGGTTGCTGTGAGCTGAGATCATGCCACTGCACTCCAGCCTGGGCAAGAGCCAAACTCCTTCTCAAAAATAGTAATAATAATACCACCCTTTTTGCAGTGTAAAATCTTTACCCTTTTATAGCGTTCATCACTTACCCATCCTTGGTCTTTTTTTTTTTTTTTTTTTTAATTTGCACATAAAACATTTCCTGGCTGAGCATGCCTGTAATCCCAGCACTTTGGGATGGGAGGATGGCTTGAGTCCAGAAGTTTGAGACCAACCTGGGCAACATAGTGAGACCCCATCTCTACCAAAATAAAAAATAAAAACAATTATGTCCCTGTATTAATTAAAGATTTTTTGTTTGCATATTAACTGAAATTTATTTGAGCTAGCTTAAGCCAAAACCAGGGAAATTACAACAGACATATGGGAATGTCTCATAAAATCGAATAGCAGTAATACAGCTGGACTTACAGGAGGGCTTAGAAGCAGTAAGCAACTTAGGCATCAGTATATTCCCTTCACTTCTCTCTTTTTCATTTCTTCTTGCTCTGACGCCTAGCTTTCTCTAATCCTCAGCCCTCATAGAAACAGATGACTACCACATATGTGGTTTTTATATGCCTCAATTCTAGCCACACATAGAGATTAACTGGTTCTGAATGTCAATTCCAAATTCCTAGTAGAGAAAATAAATTGGCCCAGGTTGGGCCACGTATCTAAATCTGATTCAGTGAGCTTTGAGCAGAGTATATACTTCAATAAATGTCTAGTGCACTTCCCTAATGGAGTGTCAGTGAGTTGAGCACAAAAGTCATGGTTTAATAAACATTTTTATGTACTGAGAGTACATTGTTCAGATCTTCATATATAGTGCTGTTTAGGAAATATTCTTCAATTGGTGAATGAAAAGTTTTCACCAACTTCCCCTTTCTAGTTTGCTTTCCTTTCTTCCTTCAACAACAAAGAAAGAAAGAAAGGAGTAGAACTGAAAAGAACAGAGTGATTGGATCTATAAATGATCAAACAGACTGTAATGCAGAAGATGAAAAGAGACAGATCTCATCTGTTTTTTTCCCGGCATGTCTTGAACTCTGAGATTTTAAAAAATAGATAATTGACCTACTTCTGATTCGTGCAAAAACAGCGTATTTCCCAGAAAGCTAAGACTATTGCAGATATTATCAGTTTAATTCTCAATCTTGATTGCATATCGGAACCACCTGGAGAACTCTTTTTTTTTTTTTTTTGAGACGGAGTTTCGCTCTCATTACCCAGGCTGGAGTGCAATGGCGCCCTCAGCTCACTGCAACCTCTGCCTCCTGGGTTCAAGCCATTCTCCTGCCTCAGCCTCCCGAGAAGCTGGGACTACAGGCGTGCACCACCATGCCCAGCTAATTTTTGTATTTTTGGTAGAGACGGGGTTTCACCATGTTGACCAGGACAATCTCAATCTCTTGACCTCGTGATCCACCCACCTCAGCCTCCCAAAGTGCTGGGATTATAGGCGTGAGCCACCGCGCCCGGCCGAGAACTCTTACCAACACTGACATCAGGATCCCACCCCAGACAGTTAGGAGAATTTCAGCCTGTGAGATTCAAGCATCTTATGTTTGAAAAGTTTCCTCACATGATTTTTATGGGCAGCCAGGGTGTAGAACCACTAGCTTCACTGGAGAAACATTTGTGAAGACCTATGCTAGCACATCACCTAACTAAGGTTCACAGCAGCTCTGTGAGGTAAGAGGGGGTCAAGTAGAATGAATCCCGTTTTACAGATAGCACAGTTGTGATTGCCGTGAAGTTGCCCATTTTGTAAGTGGTGGACCCAGGAACAGAACCTAAAGCTCAAGAGATTGTTAATTTCATTTCATCTCATTAAGTCCTGCTGCCAAACACTAATGGGTTTAATTAAGAGAGGGGGGCGGGCCAGGTGCAGTGGCTCACGCCTGTAATCCCAGCACTTTGGGAGGCCGAGGCAGGTGGAGCACAAGGTCAAGAGATTGAGATCATCCTGGCCAACATGGTGAAACCCTGTCTCTACTAAAATACAAAAATTGGCTGGGCATAGTGGCACACGCCTGTAGTCCCAGCTACTCAGGAGGCTGAGGCAGGAGAATTGCTTGAACCTAGGAGGCAGAGGTTGTAGTGGGCCAAGATCACGTCACTGCACTCCAGCCTGGCACCTGGGGACAGAGCGAGACTCTGTCTCAAAAAAAGAGAGAGAGAGAGAGAGAAGTGGTTAGCAGTGGCATTCCTTGCCATCCCTCATTTAGTTGTGCATTCTTTCCAATTCACCTCCATTCACCTCTCTCCATTTATCTTTTGTTCCTGGATGCAGGAACTAAATAAAAAGAGGACCCAGAAGGAGATGGAGCATGCCATGCTGATCCGGCATGACGAGTCCACCCGAGAGCTAGAGTACAGGCAGCTGCACACGTTACAGAAGCTACGCATGGATCTGATCCGTTTACAGCACCAGACTGAACTGGAAAACCAGCTGGAGTACAATAAGAGGCGAGAAAGGGAACTGCACAGAAAGCATGTCATGGAACTTCGGCAACAGCCAAAAAACTTAAAGGTAAGAGGAGATAGCATTTCCCTGTTTGCTTCTGGACAGTGTTGGACCAGATCAATGGTTTCTATACTGGAAGTGTCAGAGTCACCTGAGCAACTTTTCAGACTCACAAATTTCTGTGCCCCACACCTATTGCATCAGAATCTCCAGTTGTAAAGCACAGAGTCTGTATTTAAGCTCCTAAAAAAGAGATGTGGCAGGCTGGTTTGGAAACTATGATTCTACTACATTATCTATCAGTTTGTCATCATGTCCATTATGGAATTTCTCTGAGCGCTTCATGACCTGCCCTCTTCAAAACTGGACAAATAGCAGTTTATAGTTCTAATCCCAGGAAATAAGGAAGTTATATTGGCCTTAGGTACTTTGAGCACCACTGTATTGAGAAAGACTCTAAAGCCACATCCAAGTTTAGGAGGAAAGAGTGTCATTTATTAGTGATGTCTGTCATGGTCATCAAGAACGAATCTACAATTGCCAGGCATTTACCACTTCTGCACTAGAGTGGCAGAGATATAGAGGAACTCCTTTGGCCCTCACTGCCTCCAGCTAATTTTAGCTGACTGCTAATTAACAAGCTCCACATACTAAGCCATTGCTATGTATCAGTGAGGACATTGTCAGTGTTGGCACAGACATGAGGCCAACCTTGACCACACTGGCTCTGCATCTCTTCAGTGAAGTCCTAAGCTAAGCAGTGATTTCTATCACCATAAGTCCTCAGAGTGTTCATGAAGTGCATACATGACTATGGGCAACCTGATGGAATGCCTTCTGGGCTTCAAATAATATACTCTACCTTCTCCTTGCCCAAATGCACATTTGATATTGCTACATGCAAGCACAACCTCTTAATGGGGGGAAAAACTGTAAAACACTTTTCTCTTTCAGCTTACACTGACATTCAGTGGAAATGGGTTAGGATATGAGGTACTATCCATATGTTCTCCTTTATGGAGTTGATAAGAAATTGCTATAAACCAGAGCAGTGAGAGCTGGCTTATATAATGCTATCCCCTCTCTCACTTGGAAACAGGGTGAAATATAAAAACAAAAATAAGGAAAAAAAACATTGAACAATGGGAGACACTGAAGACTCTGACTAGGAAAGCATGAAAAGAATTGTCCCCTTTCAACAAGCCAGGCTTCATAATATCCCTCAATCTGCTTAGAGTCCTCATCCCCTTATGACAGTCCATATTTTCTTTGAAGCCATTTGTAAATTCAAAATTACTTATATTCATTCACTATAAAACCAAAAGTGTATGTAGGTTTAACTCTTGTCTGTGTCATACTCTTGTCTGCTTCATTTTTAATGATTAGCAACAGGGGTCACTGCACCAAAAAACAGATGGTCTCAGCACTTGTATTATATCGTTATGGTTGAAAGCTTTCCGTTTTTACTGATGTGTCTTTATTTTTCCTTTGTCATTTTTTCTACCCAGGCCATGGAAATGCAAATTAAAAAACAGTTTCAGGACACTTGCAAAGTACAGACCAAACAGTATAAAGCACTCAAGAATCACCAGTTGGAAGTTACTCCAAAGAATGAGCACAAAACAATCTTAAAGACACTGAAAGATGAGCAGACAAGAAAACTTGCCATTTTGGCAGAGCAGTATGAACAGAGTATAAATGAAATGATGGCCTCTCAAGCGGTAAGTGGTTAGGTTTGGTGCCACAGCTTCAAGAGCTTTGGAAATCAAGAAAATCCAAGATCCAGCCTGTTGTTCCCCAGATGATTCTTGCACAAATTTAGGATATTGATGTTTTTCTGCCCAAAGGACTGAGGAAAGGACGACGCTGAATAAAGCCAAGCCAATGTGGATACTTGCCGGAGTGTCTTATAAGATGGAACTCAAGGAATGACATGCCACATCAGACCTGTGGCACATAGGGAATTTGAGGGCAAATGTGATAGATGCCACATATGATACCATTTGTTCATTTATCAGAGGTTTTACTGACTGCCCTCCCCGCAACTAATATCAGGCACAAATGAATCAGACAGTTCCTACCCTTAGGGAGCCCACAGTCAAGTGAGGAAGACAGTTACACAGACACGCTCATTCAGTCAGGGTTCAGCACTCTGCTGGACCCAGAGATGGAGGATGAGCTAGCCAATCTGTCAGTCAAGCCAGGTGGTCAGATAATTAAGCAGTAATAGTAAAACATAGTAAGTGATTTTAAGTGGCAGGTATTGGGGGTTATGGGAGAACAAGTAGGACCAACTAAGCTGGTCTAAGGAAATCTTCTTGGAGGGAGCCAAGAAACTTAAAGGAATTCATTGATGTTAACCGATTCCTTGAAAATGGAACCTACATAGGCAAAGGTTCAAACAAAGGAAAGTATATGGAGATGGAAAGAACCTGGGTGTGAGCCCAGAGTTCGAGCAGAAAGATTGCAGGACCCAAAATGGAGAGGTCATAAAGGGAGCTTGGGATGAGAGCTTGCCTGGTAATTCAGTGACGATTTCCCAAGGAGATGACTCTTAAAGAATAATAGTTTAGCTGGGTGTGGTGGCTCATGTCTGTAATCCCAGCACTTTGGGAGGACAAAGTGGGTGGGCCACCTGAGGTTGGGAGTTCGAGACCACCCTGATCAACATGGAGAAACCCTGTCTCTACTAAAAATACAAAATTAGCCAGGCGTGGTGGTGCATGCCTGTAATCCCAGCTACTCAGAAGGATGAGGCAGGAGAATTGCTTGAACCCAGGAGGCGGAGGTTGCAGTGAGCCGAGACTGCGCCACTGTACTCCAGCCTGGGCAACAAGAGTGAAACTCCGTCTTAAAAAAAAAAAAAGTAATAGTTTACCAAAAAGGCATAAGAGAAAGAGTTATTCCTGACAAAGGATACAGTATATACAAAGACCCAGAGGCCTGAAAGAGGATGGCACATTTGAGAAACGTTGAGTAATTGCTATGGCAAGAGTATAGGATGCTTGTTGAGGGAAAGTGGGAGGAGAGTCAGGGTGAGAGCCTCAGAAGCCAAGAGTTTGGACATTATTTTGCAAGCAATGGGGAGTTGTTGAAGCCTGTTTTAAGAAGGAAAGTATAACTGGATTAGATTTGTGTTACAGAAAGATATTGGCAGAAATGTGGTAAATATAGGTAAAGAGACCTGTTAGGAAGCCATTATAATAGTCCAGGAAAAAGATGATGAGAGAACATGCTAATGGCGATGAACAGGAGTAGGGAAGGGTTTGAGAAATATTTAGGAGGCAAGAAAGAATAGAAATAACTTAGTGACCAATTTGAGAGGTTTGACAACAGAGTAGAATAGGTCATTATCTTACCAAGACAGAACAATGAAAGAAAGAGTGAGTTTGGATGCTGCAAGGATAATTGACTAAGTTGTAGACATGGTATCTGAGTTTTGTTGGTGTCCAGGTAGAGAAGTACAGATAATGGAAACTTGTAGTTTAGGAGGGATGTCAAGATTGAAGACAAAAAGCTAGAAGACTTCCTTGTGGCTGGTAGGAATAGATGAGATCTGCTGGGGACAGGAGATACTCTTAGAGAGGAAAGAACGAAGGACAGAGTCTGGTGGACACCAACATTTGAGGGCTGAGTAGAAATAGAACAAAAATAAATAATCAGAGACACAGGAAGGGAACCAGAAGAGAGGATGCCACAGGAGCCAGAGCAGGAGTTTGTAACTGATGGCGTCACATGTCACAGAGATCAATTAGAAGAATAAACTTTGAGGTGCTCATTGGACCTGGCACTGGATTCAACCATTGCTTGTCTCAGACAATCAATGGAGTGTGGGAATGGGAGACATGATAGAGCACTGAAAGATGAATTCTAAAGTGAAATCCAAATGGTAGGTGAGACCACTTTTCCCAGATCCTTGTCAATGAAGGAAAAGAGAACAAGAGCTGTAGCAAAAGGAGGAGATAGTTGGGAGAGGCTTAAGCATGCTTGTTCTTAGGCCAAGGATGGGAGCTAGCGCGTTTATCCACTCACCTATCCAGCAAGTATTTACTGAGTGCCTATATGATGTACCAGGCATCCAGAGATACCGTGCTGGATAAGACAGTCATGGAGCATGTCCTCATGGAGATTATAGAAGCATGGAGGACACAGACATTGGAAAAGTCTACTCCGTGTAATAGCAGAGCAAGAGCAAGGTACCAACAGAGTATAAAACAGGAGAGCTTACCTGGTCTGGAGAGTCGGGAGAGGCCTACCTGACACAATGGCTTTGTAGGCTGAGGAACCTGCCCATGAGAAACACGTGTAGACGTGGGGAAGACAGTGGCACTTGGGAAGAATTCACAGAAATCCATTATGTTTGGGATGTAGGGAACTGGGAGAGGACTAACAGAATAAGACTGGAGGGGTAAACAGGATGGGTCATGTAGGGGCTTTAAGGCTTTGTTAAGAATTTTTGTCTTTATCCAAAACAATGGGAAGCCATTGGCAAGTATTAAGCAGGGTGTGACATCAGATTTGTGTTTTTAACCATCACCTGGTGAATGGAGAATGGCCTGGGAGAAGGGAAGAATGCATATTAGGAGATGATTTGTGCAGTTACTTTTACCCCAGGTACCAGAACCTGGTAGCTAGACTAGAAAAGGGGCAGTCGGGATGAAGGGGAACGTTACTAAATTTGGCAGGAGGTAGAACTGAGAGTACTTAATGACAGGTTGGATGTGGAGAGTCTGGTGTTCAGGATGACTTCCAGTCTATGGTTTGAACAAAGCAGTAGATGATGGGCTGGGCATGGTGGCTCTTGCCTGTGATCCCAGCACTTTGGGAAGCTGAAGTGGGTAGATCACCTGAGGTCAGGAGTTCAAGACCAGCATGGCCAACATGGTGAAACCCTGTCTCTACCAAAAACAAAAATTAGCTGGGCATGGTGACGTGCACCTGTAATCCCAGCCACTCAGGAGACTGGGGCAGGAGAATTGCTTGAACCCGGGAGGCAGAGGTGCAGTGAGCTGAGATCATACTACTGTACTCCAGCCTGGGTGGCAGAGTGAGACTCCGTCTCAAAAAAAAAAAAAAAAAAATGTAGATGATGGTCTATGTACATTTACCTATATGGTAAAAAAAAAAAAAAAAAAAAAGAGGTGGAACAGACTGGGAGTGGGAAGGAAAAGGTGATGTGTTGGCTGTGTGGGGCCTGAGAACCTGAGAAACATCCAGCAGAGGGTGTCTCTAGTAGACTAGAGGAGCTCATCCAGACCTCGGAAGGGAAGTCTGAAATAGATGTTTAGTGTGGGAGCCATTTGCATTCATGGTAATTGAGGCTTTTGAAATAGATGAGATTCTTAGGAAGAGAGGTTAGAGGAAGAAGAGGGCCCAGGACGAAGCCCTTAGGAACACCCACATTTAAGCACCACGTGGGTAAGGACTACTGGAAAAGGAATAGTCAGGGAAGACAAAAACCAAGAAGTTGTGGTATCTCAGAAGACAAAGACTTCAAGAAGGAAGGGGCATTTGACAATACCAAGTGCTCCTGCTGGGAGGTCAGGTAACAGGAGCCACTTCCAGACCATCATGGGTCACCTTAATGTGAGCAGTAGACGTGTAGAGGGTTAGGATCAGAATGAGTGTGAAGAGAAGGTGCAGAAAGAGGTGAACGACAAAGAGAAGGAAGGAAGTTGATAGAGACATAAAGGCTGATAGGGTTTCTGTTTTGTTAATCTTTATATTCTCAGCATCTGCAACAATGCGTGGCATACAGCAAGTGTTCAATGAATGTTATATAAAATGGTAGAGACCAGGCGCAGTGGCTCATGCCTGTAATCCCAACACTTTGGGAGGCTGAAGCGGGAGAGGAGGGTCACTTGGAGCCAAGAATTCTTGACCAGACTGGGCAACATAGCAAGAGCCTGTCTCTACAAAAAATATAAAAATTAGCCAGTTATGGTGGCACATGCCTGTAGTCCCAGTGACTCGGGAGGCGGAAGCAGGAGGATCACTCAAGCACAGGAGTTCAAGGCTTCAATGAGCTATGATCACACCACTGCACTCCAGCCTGGGCAACACAACAAAACTGGGACTCAAAAAAAATAAATAAGATGAGAGAGAACAGGATCAGGAATAGAGGTCAATGATTGCCCTTGAATAAAAGGAGAGAAGTGTCCTTTTTACTGAGACAGGGAGAAGATAAAAGTATGTGATCATTACAGTATCCTTTACTGACTACTTACCATGTGGCAAGTACAATGTTAAGTATTTCATAAATGTTATCTCATTTAATTTTTGTGAAACTCCTTTGAAGTAGTTACTGGTTTGACCCTAATTTACCTGTGAGAAAACTGAAGTTTACTGAAGTGAAGCTACTTGCTTAGATCAGGAGTGGCAAATGTTGTAAATGGACAGATAGTAGTTAGCTTTGTGGACCACAGGGTCTCTGTCACAACTACTCAGCTTTGCCATTGTAGCACAAACGCAGCCATAGACAAAATGTAAATGAGTGAGTATACTGATGTCTAATAAAATTTTATTTACGGCTGGGCACGGTGGCTCATGCCTGTAATCCCAGCACTTTGAGAGGCCGAGGCAGATGGATCACCTGAGGTCAGGAGTTCAAGACCAGCCTGGCCAACCTGGTGAAACACTGTCTCTACTAAAAATACAAAAATTAGCCAGGAGTGGTGGTGGGTGCCTGTAATCCCAGCTACTCAGGAGGCAGAGGCAAGAGAATCACTTGAACCCAGGAGGCAGAGATTGCAGTGAGCCAAGATTGCACCATTGCACTCCAGCCTGGGCAACAGAGTGAGACTTTGTCTCAAAAAAAAAAGAAAAAAGAAAAAAATTTTATTTACAAAAACAGGTACCAGGCCAGATTTGGCCCATGGGCTGCAATGTGTCAACCCCTGGCTTGGGAACAAAGGGGAAGGTCACATGACTAATTAGTGGTGAAGCTAGGATTGAACCTAGCTTGGGGGGAATCTGTAAACCTCATATCTTTTTCTTCAGTGTAAGCCACTGTGAGGAACAGACATATTTACCTATACTCTTAGAAAACTTTTTAATGGAGCCAGGCACCATGGCTCACGCCTATAATCCCAGTACTTTGGGAGGCCGAGATGGGCAGATCATCTGAGGTCAGGAGTAGCCTGGCCAACGTGGTGAAATGCCATCTCTACTTAAAATACAAAAAATTAGCTGGGCCGGGTGGCGCTTGCCTGTAATCTCAGCTACTCGGGAGGCTGAGACAGGAGAATCGCTTGAACCTGGGAGATGGAGGTTGTAAGGAGCTGAGATCACACACCACTGCACTCAGCCTGGGCAACAGAGTGAGACTCTGTCTCAAATAAAAACACGAAGAAACAACTTTTTAATGGATTTGATTTGTGTAACCTTGGGTGATAAATACCAAATGCTGGAATATCCTCTGGTTTCTAGCACTGGGCCTTCAGAATCAGAGCTGGTACAGAACAAAACAATGGTACCAGTTACTGATAATAGTAGTAGAAGGCTAGAAATAAAAGGAAATGGAGATGTTCTGAATGTTTAAAGAGTTTAGATAGTCTAAACTGACCATGGAATGAACCTCTCACCCACTTAGCCAGGGCTTACGGCAACTAATGCAGACAAGTAGAAAAGAACAGTACTTTCACTTCCTTTACTGATAAGGAACCTCCCATATCAAGAGGGAATCAGTAACAACCCTCATTTGAGCCAGTAAATCCTTTGGCATTTACCTGTGAGTCTGTTCCTGCTGAATGCTATGTATTGTGTCTAGTGTCTCTTATCCCTTCATTCCTTATTGGGAAAATGAGAACTATCTGTCCTCTTTAAGGATTTTAATGAAACCTGGTTAGGATTAATTTTTAGAAGGTACTTTGGAAATATGATTACATAATTTATGTTCCTCTGATCTCTATAGTGTTTCTCCAGAAGTACTAAAAGAAGACACATGCAAATAACTATCTTAAAATATTATAACATTTCAAAAAGTAATTTTTCAATCAAAATATGTATATTGTCACAAATTGTACGTAAGGTGGAGAATAAGTATCTTGGAAAAGTGGTCAATATGGAAACACACAGATAAGCTCAGGGCATATGGACTGTCTGATTCAAGGGTTCTAATCTCATAGTTCTCAGCCAAGCTGAGGGCCTGCCAAAATGGGACCAAACCAAGCCTTCAACCAGAGGTCATCATTCCTAAATACTGTTCTGCTGATGGTCTGAAACCTTCAACTCTGCTTTAGAGAAGTTGGCACTTCTACTTGGTTCATTCTCCACGCAGGATCTGGGTATCTTGTATAAGATGAAGTTCAGGCTGGGCACGGTGACTCACACCTGTAATCCCAGCACTTTTGAGAGGCCAAGGCGGGTGTATCACCTGAGGTGGGGAGTTCGAGACCAGCCTGACCAACATGGAGAAATCCCGTCTCTACTAAAAATACAGAATTAGCCGGGCGTGGTGGCACACGCCTGTAATCCCAGCTACTTGGGAGGCTGAGGCAGGAGAATCACTTGAACCCAGGAGGCAGAGGTTGCAGTGAGCCGAGATCGCGCCATTGCACTCCAGCCTGGGCAACAAGAGCAAAACTGTCTCAAAAAAAAAAAAAAAAGACCAAGTTCAGGTGCGGCAGGGAGCAAGGGAAACTTGAGGCTGCATATAGTCTGGACATCACTGCTTCAAAGCAGATATGCCTCTTAAAATTAAGCCTACCTACCCTCTTTAGGAAAGAGATTTTTTTTTTTTAATGAGACAAGATCTCTATCTCCCAAGCTGGAGTACAGTGGTGTGATCATAGCTCACTGCAGCCTCGAACTCCTGGGTTCAAGAGATGATTCTGCCTCAGCCTCCCAAAGTAGCTGGGACTACAGGCACATGGTACCATGTCTAGCTAATTTTTTAAAAAAACTTTTGTAGAGATGGTGGTCTCACAATATTGCCCAGGCTGGTATTGAACTCCAGGCCTCAAGCAATCCTCCCACCCTGGTCTCCCAAAACACTGAGTTAACAGAGGTGAGCCACCAGCCAGGGAAGAGATTTTGAACCACTTAGAGTTTTGGATTGGCTGGCTAGCAAGATAACATTGTTGTTGTTGTTGTTGAGATGGAGTCTCACTCTGTCTCCAGGCTGGAGTGCTGCAGTGCGGTGGCGTGATCTCAGCTCACTGAGACCTACACCTCCCAGATTCAAGTGAGTCTCCTGCCTTAGCTTCCTGAGTAGCTGGGACTATGGGTGTGCATCACCACACCTAGCTAATTTTTATATTTTTAGTAGAGACGGAGTTTCACCATGTTGCCCAGGATGGTCTCCATCTCTTGATCTCATGATCCACCTGCCTTGGCCTCCCAAAGTGCTGGGATTACAGACGTGAGCCACCATGCCCGGCTGCAAGCTAACTTTTATAGCAAACAATGGGTGCCAATGTTACTACTTGGAGCATAACCGTACTGTGGTATATTCCTCAAGTTTTATGGAAATTGGATTCATTTTTTTATAGCTAAGCATATCTAAATGATTTTAGGGTTAAAGATCTTGAAATAAGGACATGATCAGTTGAAACCAAAATAATGGTAACAGCTACTATTTATTGAACACTTAGTATGCATTGAGAACTGTGCCTAGGATTTTATATGAATTATTTCATTTAATCCTCCCACCAATCTCAGACAATAGGAATTATTCTTTTTTTTTTTTTTTTGAGATGGAGTCTCGCTCTTGTCGCCCAAGCTGGAGTGCAGTGGCGTGATCTCAGCTCACTGCAACCTCCGCCTCCCAGGTTCAAGCGATTCTCCTGCCTCAGCCTCCTGAGTAGCTGGGATTAAAGGTGCCTGCCACCATGCCCGGCTAATTTTTGTACTTTTAGTAGAGATGGGAGTTTCTTCATGTTGGCCAGGCTGGTCTTGAACTCCTGACCTCAGGTGATCTGCCCACCTCAGCCTCCCAAAGTGCTGGGATTACAAGCATGAGCCACTGCACCTGGGCAATAGGAACCATTCTTTTTATTTTCTTGAGGATGAAACATGAGGTCTAGGGAGGTAGGTAATGTGCCAAGGTAACACAACCAAGTGGATGGTGTGGCTGGAATTCAGGCGCAGGTGCCGACTTCAAAGCCCACAGGCTTAATTCCTGGACTATGCAGCCTTCCTGATGCCTGCTGCTGTGGTTTCAGACCATACTGAAAAGAATGTGTACTTTGTAGCCCATTGGGCAGACTTGACTGTTTTTGATTTCTGACTCTGAATGTATCCAAAGCATCTGTGTTTTTGAGGGGGGACCAATTTCAATCAAAATGAGGAAACCTCTTCCAGTAGTCACCAAGAGCTGTAGGCAAGGGTGCATGACAGTGTGTGTCTTCTGTGCCCGCAGTTACGGCTAGATGAGGCTCAAGAAGCAGAATGCCAGGCCTTGAGGCTACAGCTCCAGCAGGAAATGGAGCTGCTCAACGCCTACCAGAGCAAAATCAAGATGCAAACAGAGGCACAACATGAACGTGAGCTCCAGAAGCTAGAGCAGAGGGTGTCTCTGCGCAGAGCACATCTTGAGCAGAAGGTATGAAGGCATTACCGGGGGTCCATGCCACTGGGTGGAAGGGGGTGTGGCTGAGGGAACTGCCATATGTGGAAACTTCCTTAGTTGGAGATTAAAGTGGACACTTTTCACTTACCTGCTTTATGCTACTGGTTCCCTTGTGAGGTAGGCATTGTCCCCATTCTACAGGCCAAAACACCAAGGCATGCATGTCTGACCCCACATCCTAAGTCTTTCTGCTACTCTGCTAGGAAACCCTCAATGTTCCCAGCCATAGAGTGACATGGGCTGCTGGGGGGTTGATGTGACACCTGAAAGGTACTGTGAGCTGATAGCAGAGCTGCCAAATGGCACAAGGAAGCCAAATGTATAATAGATTTGGCTTTTCAGCTATTTTTAAACCAAAGGAAATCACCAGCAGGTCTCTTTAAAAAAAAAATTAAAATGACGATAGGCTGATACTGCCATGCATAATAAATGTTATCCCAACTGAAATATTCATTGCTTTAGATATTCTGAGGAATATGAAGTAGAAAAGATTTCATAAGGCATCTCAAAGCTGTTAAGCATTTATTTGCTTAACCAGTTATGTGCACTTTCTTCCAGTAGTTCCCTGAGACCAGTGTCACAGACTGTTTTCCCAGCTCCTGTTCTAGAACTAAATTACTAATGACCCAGGAGGCATTTGGCTCTCTATGGGAAAGCAGCACAATCTAATTGTGCTTGAGTGTCTTTTAGCTTCTCCTGAGCCATCCCCTGCTAAAACAGGACACTGACCTAGATCAGCCCAGCTGCTGGGCTTGCTAGAGTGGCATTGCCGGTCCCAGTTGGGCCCCAAACATTTTTATTCTTGTGAGCAAGTTTTAAATATAATGGATTAGATTCATTGATCACAGGACTCGGCCAGCCTTCCTCCGTCCTCCCTTAGTTCGTGTGTGTGTGTACATGCCACATGTGTGCCTGTGTGTGTACATGTCATGTGTGCCTTTGTGTGTACATATGTGTGCCTGTGTGTACATCATGTGCCTGTGTGTGCATGTCATGTGTGCGTGTGTCATGTGTCCGCATGTCATATGTGTGCCTGTATGTGCATGTCATGTGTCCCTGTGTGTGTACGTCATGTGTGCCTCTGTGTGCATGTCATGTGCCAGTGCATGCCATGTGTGCCTATGTGTATGTCATGTGTGCCTGTGTGTGCATGTCATGTGTGCATATGTGTAGGTCGTGTACGTCATGTGTGTGTGTACATGTCATGTGTGCCTACGTGTGTGTGCATGTCATGTGTGCCTGTGTGTGTAATGCATGCATGTGGGTGCCTGTCAGGAGATGCTTTCTATTAAGAACTTCCTTATGCTTGTTTCAGATTGAAGAGGAGCTGGCTGCCCTTCAGAAGGAACGCAGCGAGAGAATAAAGTACCTATTGGAAAGGCAAGAGCGAGAGATTGAAACTTTTGACATGGAGAGCCTCAGAATGGGATTTGGGAATTTGGTTACATTAGATTTTCCTAAGGAGGACTATAGATGAGATTAAATTTTTTGCCATTTACAAAAAAAAAGAAAACAGAAAAAAATTCAGACCCTGCAAAACCACATTCCCCATTTTAACGGGCGTTGCTCTCACTCTCTCTCTCTCTTACTCTTACTGACATCGTGTCGGACTAGTGCCTGTTTATTCTTACTCCATCAGGGGCCCCCTTCCTCCCCCCGTGTCAACTTTCAGTGCTGGCCAAAACCTGGCCGTCTCTTCTATTCATAGTACACGTCACAGTATTGATGTGATTCAAAATGTTTCAGTGAAAACTTCGGAGACAGTTTTAACAAAACCAATAAACCAATAACAAAAAAAAAGTGGATGTATATTGCTTTAAGCAATCACTCATTACCACCAATCTGTGAAAGTAAAGCAAAAAATAATAATAATAATAAATGCCAAGGGGGAGAGAGACACAATATCCGCAGCCTTACACCTTAACTAGCTGCTGCATTATTTTATTTTATTTTATTTTTTTGGTATTTATTCATCAGGAATAAAAAAAAAACAAAGTTTTATTAAAGATTGAAAATTTGATACATTTTACAGAAACTAATTGTGATGTACATATCAGTGGTGACATATTATTACTTTTTTGGGGATGGGGGGTGGGTGGGGTGAAGAGATCTTGTGATTTTTAAGAACCTGCTGGCAAGAGTTTAACTTGTCTTCAGCATATTCTGATTGTATCATAATCATTTTCTGCTGTTGCAGAGGATGTGAATACACTTAAGGAGCTCACAGAATCCCAGTAGCACAAATTGGGCTTTGGCAAATCGTGTATTTTGTGTATAGAAGGAATTTAAGGAGAGGTATTACTTATTTTCATATTGTATTTTAACTGTTTCTCTGATCAAATTTTTTTACTTCCTCCTCCTGTTCCTCCCCACCTTCCTCCTTTTCCAATTCAGTATTTGGAGTTCAACACTGTCTCTCAATCAGATTATCTTGATCGTTTTCTTTATTTCCCTTTCCCTTCCTAAGTCCCATTTCTTGGTCATAAATATTGCATTATTCACACTTTCAAACTGTGTATTTTCTTACAATAAAAAATGATGAAAAAAAAAAAGGCTTTACTTCTTTTGCATGCACTTTAAAAACAAAACATTTTTCAGGTTCCAAGGAAGAGCATGATAACTGTCAGAGCTTTTAATTATATTTGTAAATAAAAGTGTTCATCACATCGCCTTGCTGTGTTATTGTAGCAGGAGGTTTCCCTTCCAGGTTCACCGGTTCACAATTCAGAGGGCCGGCCACCCTCCTGAGACTGTTCTCCATAGCCTCAGTCGCTCCAAGAAGAGCCATTCAGGACTTTCAGGTAAAGCTGTGTCTTCCAAGTTCTACGGGGCTGAAGATAGTGTTGCACCATTTGATGTGGGGATATGGTCAACTGCACCTTTCTGTCCTTAAGAATAGAAGGCATGGGCCAGGCGTGGTGGCTCCTGGCTGTAATCCCAGCACTTTGGGAGGCAAGGCGGGTGGATCACGAGGTCAGGAGTTCAAGACCAGCCTGGCCAACATGGCGAAACCCTGTCTTTACTAAAAATACAAAAATTAGGTGGGCGTGGTGGCAGGCTCCTGTAATCCCAGCTACTCAGGAGGCTGAGGCAGGAGATGCGCTTGAACCTGGGAGGTGGAGGTTGCAGTGAGCCAAGTTTGCACCACTGCACACTAGCCTGGGTGACAAAGCAAGACTCCAGTCTCGAAAAAAAAGGATGGCAGCTAGAGAACGGGTATGAAAGAGACAAAGAGCCAGTGTCCTGTAGTCTTCCAGCATGTACTAAACTCTCCTGAGTTAAAAAGTTATTACAGGTTTGTCATGCATATTAGTGAGGAAGGACGACTTACCTTTGATTCGTGATGATTCATTTAATGAATATTTACTGAGTACCTTATATGTCATGCCAGGCTAGACACTAGAGATATACTATTGTATCTCAAACAGGTGAAGATCCCTGCCCTAATGGAACCTATATTAGAGGTAGGAGGAAACTGGGAGCAAACAGTAATTATGATAAATAAAGGATCTTATGCAGTAATAAGTGCTAGGGATGAAGAAAAAAATAGGGAAGGGTGGCCAGGCGAGGTGGCTCATGCCTGCAATCCCAGCACTTTGGGAGGCCAAGGACAGGCAGATTGCTTGAGGTCAGGAATTCAAGACCAGCCTGGCCGACCCATCTCTACCAGAAAATATAAAAATTAGCCAGGTGCGGTGGCACACACCTGTAGTCCCAGCTACTTGGGAGGCTCAGGTGGGAGAATCACTTGAACCTGGAAGGCAGAAGTTTCAGTGAGCCAAGATTGGACCACTATACTCCAGCCTGGGCAACAGAATGAGACCCTGTCTCACAAAAAAAATAAATAAGGAAGGTTAATGGAGATCAGAAGTGCCAGATCAATTGGGCATGGTGGCTCACACCTGTATCCCAACACTTTGGAAGGCCAAGATTGCTTGAGCCCAGGAATTTGAGACCAGCCTAGGCAACACGGTGAAACTCCATGATCCAGTTTGGCTCTGTGTCCTCAACCCAATCTTATGTGGAATTGTAATTCCCAATGCTAGGGGAAGGACCTGGTGGGAGGTGATTAGATCATTAGAGTGGATTTTCCCACTTGCTGTCCTCGTGATAGTGAGTTCTCATGAGATCCGGTTGTGTTTTGTTTGTTTTGAGACAGCGTCTCACTCTATTGCTCAGGCTGGAGTGCAGTGATGTGATCTCAGCTCACTGCATCTCTGCCTCCCAGGTTCAAGCAATTCTTCTGCCTCAGCTTCCCGGGTAGCTGGGATTACAGGCACTCGCCACCATGCCTGGCTAATTTTTGTATTTCTAGTAGAGATGGGGTTTCACCATGTTGGTCAGGCTGGTCTCAAACTCCTAAGCTTGTGATCCGCCTGCCTTGGTCTCCTAAAATGCTGGGATTACAGGTGTAAACCACTGCGCCTGGCCAGTCTGGTTGTTTTAAAAATATACAGCGCTTTCTCTCATGCTCTTTCTCCTGCCACCATGTGAAGATGCGCTGGCTTCCCCTTGCCTTCCGCCATGATTGTAAGTTTCCCGAGGCCTCCTGAACCATGCTCCCTCTAGAGCCTGTGGAACCATGAGCCAGTTAAACCTCTTTTCTTTATAAATCACCCAGTCTCAGGTATGTATCACAGTTTGGGAACAGACTAATACACCCCATCTCTACAAAAATTAGCCGGGCATAGTGGCATGTGCCTGTGAGCCCAGCTACTCAGGAGCCTCAGGTGGGAGGATCGCTTGAGCCTGGGAGGTTAAGGCTGCAGTGAGTCACAATCATGCCACTGCATTCTAGCCTTAGTGACAGAGTGAGACCCTGTCTTGGAAAAAAAAAATAAAAGAAGATGCCAGGATCAGCATACCTTTACTCATTCCTTCAGGGAATATTTATTGAGCATCTACTGTGTGCTTGGGGATATGATGGTAAATAAAATGGATGAAGCTGGTCCTGTGCTGGAGGCTCATGGCTTAAATCTCCGTGGAAAAGGAAGTAAATCAACAGTGGACTAGGTTACTCAGCAGTGACTAAGAAGGGCATGACAACACAATACTGGGTGCTACCAGGAGTTCAAAAGAACTCCAATAATACCAGTTATAGGTGGTGTCAGAGAGTGCTTACTAGCATTAACTGTGTCTAACTAGGTAAATGAATTTGTTTTTTTAATTTCCCACCATTTGTAATTATTTGCTTATGTATCTACAGGAGAAGAGTATTCTTGGGAAACTGGAAACCTGCCCATGTAAACTCTATATACCCCTCTGACTTTAACTTAGTAAGATATTTGTAAATATTTTTAAATATTAGAAATGATCACATATGAAAAATACATTATTGGCCTGGCACAGTAGCTCACATCTGTAATCCTAGCACATCTGAGACGGTAAGGCAGGTAGACTGCCTGAGGTCAGGAGTTCGAGACCATCCTGGGCAACATGTTGAAACCCCATCTCTACTAAAATACAAAAAATTAGCCAGGCGTGGTGGTGGGCACCTATAGTCCCAGCTACTCGAGAGGCTGAGGTGTGAGAACTGCTTGACCCTGGGAGGTGGTGGTTGCAGTGAGCCAAGATCACGTCACTGCACTCCAGCCTGGGTGACAGAGCAAGAGTCTCTCTCTAAAAAAAAATTAATTTTGATTCAGTGTGACTTACCAATGTAAGTCCCACTGATTACAACTAAAAACTGGACAAAATGCAAAAGCGACTACCTGAAGATACTGAAAAATAAAAGCAGATAAGTTATGGAGAAGGAACTTAGAAATGGAAGTAAAATTAAAACATTCTCAAATGAAGAAAAATTAAAGGAGTTCATTTCCAGCAGACTTTGCTCTATAAGAAATGCTAGAGGAAATTCCTTATACTGAAGGGAATGACACTTGGGTCTCTGGGAATGAAGAAAGAGAAACAAATGGTAAATATCTGGCCAGGCGTGGTGGCTCATGCCTGTAATCCCAGCAGTCTGGGAGTCCGAGGTGGGTGGATCACCTGGAGTCAGAAGTTCGAGACTAGCCTGGCTAAAATGGTAAAACCTCATCTCTACTAAAAATACAAAAACTAGGTGGGCATGGTAGTATATGCCTGTAATCCCAGCTACTCGGGAGGCTGAGGCAGAGGAATCACTTCAACCAAGGAGGCAGAAATTGCAGTAAGCTGAGATTGTGCCACTGCACTCCAGCCTGGGTGACACAGCAAGACACGGCCTGTCTGCCTCATTTTCCAAGCTCAGTACTCCAGCCTCGTATAATAGTGAGGCCGGGTGCGGTGGCTCAGGCCTATAATCCCAGCACTTTGGGAAGCTGAGGTGGGTGGATCATTTGAGGTCAGGAGTTTGAGACCAGCCTGGCCAACATAGTGAAACCCCGTCTCTACTAAATATACAAAAATTAGCTAGGTGTGTTGGCTCGCACCTGTAGTCCCAATTACTAGGGAGGCTGAGGCAGGAAAATCGCTTGAACCCGGGAGGCGGAGGCTGCAGCGAGGAAACTGACATGAGGAAACTGGGCTT